TGCGAGAAAATTAATTTAAATCGTCAATAAATATTTTAACCACGAACCCTTGTATCTAAACCGACACTTATTAAAACTTCACCGAAAACATATTTGAGCAATAACCCGGAAACCATCTTCTAACTGGGAAACTATTTTAAACTTTAAGTAAGTAATTTTAACTTTAGATTAATCGAAAAAACACTTTCCATCCACGATTTATCTCTTGGGCGTTCATAGAAGAGATCACGTACAATTTTAGTAGAAAATCAAACCTCGTTTTTCATCATCAGCTCGAACGGTTGAAATGGAAATTTCGGTATGATATAAAGTTTGTTTATCAAGTTGAGACTGTCTATACGAGTATATTATGTAGTTTGTTGGATGTGTTATACTAAGAGAAAAGCTTGTTTGTTGAATGTCGATAACGAAATGAAAGAAGGTTTTAACTTTGTTTACAACACTAGTTCCATAAAAGTATGAAGCACTTGTAAATGCAGGGTTTCACCACTGGTATATTTCAAGATTGGTCTGATTCAAGAAAGAATTTTAAATTCTTGATGTTTGCAGAAACTAAATTTGTTTCTAACTTTTAAATATATAAATAATAGAAAAGTAATAAAAAATAAGTAAAATAAAATATAGACCAAAATCAATAGAATTGTAAGTAGATTGGTAAAATAAAAATCTGTACCTTATTGTAGTTGTAATATTTAGTATGAATACAATCTATTATAAATAAAAAAAAATAGAGTTGTACAATTTAATAGAATTATATACAAAACTTCTTTTAAATAAGGCTGTTCGATGACAGGATATTGTGTAAGTTGTGACGTCGCGGAGGTTACTATCATGAATTGTTTTAAGAGTTATAAATTTTTTAATTAGTGGGGAAGAGCTGTCAATGCATTTTATTAATTTATGAAAACAGCTACCTAAATGGAGTGTCCTGCGTTCCTTCATATTAAGCAAATTTAATTCTCGTATTTTAGGAGTAACATAATCATATTTACGAAGATTAAATATTTATTTTTGTAAGAATTTTGAATTTTCTGAATTCTATAATATAGTGTTAAAATCTAAGCAGAGTCCATTAATAAAATCGCAATAGGTTAATTTGGACAAGACTAAGTTTTATTCGTAGATTATAATTAAGAATATGCCTGCTGGAGTAAAGTAATTTTAAAGAAAGATAAGCTGAACGGGTAATTCTACCAACATGTTCTCTAAATCTTAAATCTGTATCCAAATATATACCAAGATTTCTAGCTGATTCAACAATTGGCAACTTGGTGTTATTATTATTAATATTAAATTGATTTTTAACAAGTTCTTTTTTATTTTTTGAACCAAAAAACAGAACACAAGATTTCGATGCATTTAGTTTTAAATTATGTTGGAAAAAAGTTCATAAATAAGTTTAAGACCTTCATGATCGTTTTTAAAACTGTAATATAATTGTGTATCGTCAGCGTAGGCTTGGACTTTACAATTTTTTATGGATTTGATAATGCAAGAAGTATAAATTAAGAAAAGGAGCGGTTCCAGGATACTGCCCTGGGGAACACCAGATAAAATATTCATAGAATTCGAAAATGTATTATTGTAACATACACGTTGAGACCTGTTGTTTAAATATGATTTTATCAACGCAACTGCTGCATAATGAATACCATAATATTTCATATTTCACTTTTATAGCACATCTCATAGAGGTTACAAAGTGAAGTTCAGAAAACGTCGTATTAGCGGTTTTACCGCACTTTCCTCCAAAAAATTGTTCTGAAATGGTTTATAGATGTTATAATGTGAGTTAGCTCTACAGAATTATACAGTATGTCCACGGATGCACTTAACTATATTTGTAAAAATATTTATTTTAAATTTAAAATAAAATGTAATTATTCATAATTTCTTTTGGTTGTTAAATAAATACGATTTACATTAAGAAATTATGAAAAACTACTTTTTTTTTTAATTTAAAATATATATTTTTACAAGTCCATCCTTGGACACACTAAATTGTTTTTTATGAAAAATAGTAAAATGTAGACGTTTCAGTGAACAGGGTGGTCCATAAATGAGGGTCAGACCAAACCTATACATTTTTTAAGGAAAACACCCTGCAGGTAGTTATACAGATTTGATTGTTTTCACACCGTTAAATAATTTTAATAGATTTCATATATTTGCTATGTTGTATAGTTAAAGGGTGTGTCAAAATGCGGGATTACGATTTTTTTAATTCATTAAATAGAATACCCACCAATTAATTATTTCTATTTAAAAAATAGAGAAAATTTTGCGGTGGCAACCACTGATCTGTATTATTTTACTGGATAGGATATAGCCCCCTAAAAAACGTTCTGAAAAATTGGCCGATTTGGGCAAATAATATGGCGGACCGGATGTTATTTAACGTAACCTCTATTTCCATTTTTCATCACATTTGTCATTTAATTGTGTCAACAAGCTACGATGAGATGTTTTTATTGTGGAAAACAAAGTAAAAAGAGTTTGAAATAAACAATAAACGTTCATTTCTGAAGACACAATATGCTTCACGTTTCCAGTTTTATATTTTCTTTCATAAAAAATCAAATCATGGGTGGATTTTCCCGAAGGTCATCGCCCGCAAAAGGAATAGAAGAAGAATAAGAAGAAAAACTAATCAAATTATAGGTTAGGTATGTCAAATTATCCCAAATTTCAGTTCTGTGAACCCACCATAATTTGCCCAAATCGGCCAGCATTGTTGCACTTCCGGTCTCCTTGGTGGAACGGTTTTTTAGTATGTTAAATATAGCCTATATCCTATCCAGTAAAATAATACAGATCAGTGGTGGCAACCCTTATCTAAGGTTGATTCGTTTTGTATTTTCATATCTGCATAATATCCTGTCAGTCATGAACAATAAGTATCACCGTGAAATTTAGAATATTTTTAGAGGTTTTAAAAGAAATTTAGCACTAGGTTAACTCGATGAAGACGTTTAATTCTTCATGAAATGTAGTGTTGGTTGCCTAGTGTTCAGGTCTGTATTGGTGAATTAAATAAGCTGAAGATACCGTTATCCTCATAGATGCAAATAATATTAATTATTCTTGTATAAAGATTATATGATGAAGAAATCATTTGTTATGTTAGAAATATGTCACCGAAATGTTTTGAGAATCATTACAAAAGCGTGTTTATATAATTATATGAAAACGAATATTATTAATTGTGTTTTAATCATTTTTTGTAGATGAAGAAACTTTTTTTAATAGTTGCTATTAATCATTTTTCATATAATTATTCATTTATTTGCAATCTAAACAAAATTCTGTAAATTATTTTATTCATAACATATTTACTTAGTGAAGAACTACAAAATATAAATTAGAAAACAAGAAATAATTTTTTATTTTGATATAAAAATTCTTTTTTCTGAAAGTTGACCTTTTTAATCTTAAAAAAATTATCCAAGATATTTTTAAAGAAATTTCACATCACTTATATGTAACTGAAATTGACGGGGTATTGGGCTTACACAAGAGGTCACAAACGAACCTTTGAAGTACACCTCTATTTTTATTTTTATTTGTAATATAAAAATAACATTTTGTGTTCAATGACAACTTGAAAAAATGTCTGATTTTCTACAAAGCACTATTCTCACTAGGATCATTATTAAGAAATCAAAAAGCAAGAGAGTTTCCAAATAGAGCCTTTTTATTGAAAAGTTATATTTGCAATTAAAAAAGATTGTGGAAAAAACTATTTTTATAAAGAGCCAAAATAGTAGTTTATATAAAATTATGTATAAATATTACTTTTTTTTAATAATAAAATCCCTGATTATACATAAATCTAGAAATATTCATTTTTTTTTTAAGTAAAAACTAAACGAGCCCTCAAACAATCTCTTGGGGTACACCTTGATTTTATAATTACTTTTAGAAGCTATAAATAGCATTTTATTCAATTACATGTAGTAGATTATTATACATTAAAAGCAAAATAGACCCTTGAAATATATTAGATTTTTAAAATTTTTCTTAGAAAATTAGACGCAACATTTGATAAGAGATAATATAAAATTGTAGGGCTATTTGGGTTATATCTCAGATCTCAGTAAGTGCTGAAGATCTGAGGGAAGAGAAAGGTGTAAGGTGTAAGTATTGGAACCTTTCAGAGTTCAAGAGAAAATTTATGCATAAAATTAATTTTTTATATATATTTAAAGTAAATTCAACCTTTACTATACATAAAAAGCTAGAAGCCCTCAAACGATCTATTAAAAATAGCGTCTTGTGGTATAAAAAAAATTATATGTATAAAAAGCCACTCTATACAATTACATAAAGCAGTCCCCACCCTTAATATACATTAAAAGCAAAAGAGCCCTAAAAGAGACCCTTTAAATATACCAGATTTTTAAAATTACACTAAGAATGTTAGAAGCAACGTTTCTTAAGATAATAATAAAATTGTAAGAATATTTAAGTCCTATTTAAAGGAAATTGGACAGATTTCAGGAGAAGGAAGTCTATTGATTGGGCTTCTGTGAGAAATTAAAGTTTTGGTTGAGCTAACTTGAGGGTGGTATTGGAGCCATGTATAAAAATATTTTTTGTGTATGTTTAAAGTAACTTCAACCTTTATTATACATAAAAAAGCTAAAAGCCCTCAAACGGTCCCTTGGGGAACATCTTGATTTTATAATTGCTGCTTGAATATAAAATAGCATTTTTTGGTTAAAAATCCATTTTATACAATGATATGAAGTAATGCTAACCCTTATTATACACTATAAGCATAAAGAGCCCTAAAATAGACCCTTGAAGTATACCCGATTTTTAAAATTGTGCTTAGAACATTTCGGGGTGGCGATCGTTCAAAAATCACCGAAAAAATTTCAAGTTTTTCAACATGACCATCCTCCATCCTCCGTGTTCGAGGCTCGCAGGTGAAGTGACGTCCGTCTAGGGGGGTCCCAAGTAGGCCGGCTATAAAAGTAAGAAATCAATGGTGTGGTACGGCTGTAAATAGTGCGGTAGTGCGTTCCGTGCTTTCAGTTGTTAAAGTGTAATGGCGTACTCTGCAACGACGATCTTGTTGCTCTCGTTGCTAGCCGCCAGCGGTAAGTGCGCCTAATTATATAATACAGGGCGATGCCCGATTGTCGATTCTATATTTTTATTTGTGTGATGGATGCTGCAAGTTTAAAATCGATGTGCTACTTGATTCGTATTTAGTAAAAATGCATTTTTATGTTAAATTTGTTTTTTTGGATATAAGTAATGGATTAGTACTAAATATGACAGAAAAAGTACTTTAGTACAGTCAAAAATCGATGCTTTTAGAATAGTTTGTACTCATAAATAATTTGATTATTAGAATGACTGAAATAAATTTATTTAGTACAACTTTAGCTGTATAACTCTAAAAATTAATTTTTATTACACTATTACGTTAGAAAATATTATACATCTACAAAATATCTCCAATAAAAGTGATTATTTCTCTTTGTTTGATAAAAAGTAGTAGGTAACTAATAGTTTGGCAAATAAACCTAATTTTTGTAAATTATAAATACATAAGGGTTATTTAAATTGATGTATATTTTTTTAAAGAACCCTTTTTTCTAATTGCCAAAAATTCTTAAAAATGCTTTGTATTCCGTTAAAACCTCAATTAAGTGTTTTTATTGGGTGGTAGGCACAATAGAGTTAACAAAAATTTATAAATTTTTAAAAAAAAATCATCATTTGTTTTTCGTTATAACAGATTTAAGTGATAGTAGTGGTAGAAGTAGACCTTAATTCCATGAAATTTAAAATACAAATTAAAAATGACAAACTATTTTCTGATTGTGATATAAATTTTAAAATACTTTATTTCTTCTTTCTAAAATTAAAATTTTATGATTTTCAAAAGTTTTCTCTTGAAATAACTTTCTTGGATTGATGTCTTTAAAAAATATATTCATTATTTATTTTAAATTGATATTTAAATACGAAGCCTATACAAGAGTCCAAAAACGGATTCTTGAAGTACACCTCTTCTTTTATTTTAATGTATAAACTAAAAATAACATTTTGTGTTCGAGTTATATCTTAAAAAATGTCTAATTTTCTACCATGCACTATTCTTACTAGTATAAAATAGAAAGATTCCGAATAAATCTACATCAATATTTTAATCGGAAAAATACGTTATTTTGAGCATCGCTTACAAAAATAAGCAAGAACATGATAAAAATATATCTTTATAAATTTACGAAATATCGTTGCAGTACACAGCTTGTCCCAAACGAAATTTCTAAAATTCATTGAGTTCTTTTTTATTTTTGCAATAAAGTAAAAACAAACAATATAAACTCATAAACTACAATATTCTGTATTGATTTTTAAACGTTATAAACTCATTTAAGTGTAATCTTAAATAAAACCGGCCATTACTTAAAGAACTGATTAATATGGCAAAAAAATATGTACATTAAATAAATAAGAACTTCTGTAACGTTGGTTGTTCAGATAAAAAAATCAAATCTAGTTACCTGACTTAAATTCTGGAGATTATTGGAAATTATTTATAGAATATGAGTGATAGTAACAATGATAATAATAATAATAATAAGTATTTACCACCCTTACTGTTTCGAATTTTAAGTCGTTAACATTAGTTTTTGTAATAAGTTAGAAATTGAAATTGTTTTAGTCACTGTGGTTTCAGAAAATATACAGTCAGCTAGTCGTGCAAAAAATCTATTCCACACTCGTGTGATTATGTTTCAGACATAATGTGGAATTGGTTACTTTCTGCACTTATTGTTCAATATGGTATTTCAAAATCATTTCCATTATTAAGAACAATAATCATATCATCCACATTTAGGAAAATAATAAATAATACAGGACCCAATATTGATCCTTGCGGCACAGCCATACATACAGTTATAACATTCTACTTTTGTTTATCGTTAACCATCATCTGTTGTCAGTTCTAAATATAAATTTTTATCCAGTCATTAGAAATACCTTTGGCGCCAATGCGTTCTAATTTCTCAATCAACAATCAATGGTTTACCAAATCGAAGGATCTACTTAAATCAAAAAACAATGCTAGTGGCGTTTTTTTATTATTTAAGCAGTAGAAGTGGGTCGTTTTTTATTTTGAAACCATGTTGATTGTTAAATAAATGATTAAATTTTTTTAAGAATTCAAATAAGTGATTGTTTCAAACGTGTTTGATAATTGAATTTTTCATTTTATTCATGGATTCTTTATTTTTATAAATAGGGACAGCTTTTAGGAAATAGACTTTTAACAAAAGATTCATAAAAAAGAAGAAAGAGTTGCACATATTAAATCCCATACAAAAATTATGATATTGCCATTAATGGAGTCAATACCAGAAGTATAAAAAATTGATTGAATATCTTTAATAGATTTTGATTCTATTTGAAAATAAACGATTTTTTGTACAATAATATTTAAAATTTTGACATTTCCAACGCTAAATATTAGAAGGGATAATCGAAGCAATAGTGATAAGAAAGATTGGCCACCTTACAATAACACAATGTTTTTGTTCAGTGTGATTATTATAAATTACCTAAAAACATTTTTTAATGCAAATAAGTTTTATAATGAACAGTACGATATCTTTTCAAAGAATTTTATTTTTGCAACCAAATTATGAATAATCAAACAACATATTTTTTTATTGTCTTTTTATCTAAAAATTTCAAGACAAATACAGTACTTGAGACATATTAGACGTTAAAATCAAAGATACTTTCTTTAATAATTGTAAATACTATTTTTTTTGTGAACTTAAGTGCTTTCATTTTTTTTTTTTAGAATGAAAGGAATTTTTTGAATTTTGCCAAGTACATTTTCGTAAAGAAATCTTATTTTCCCCACCTGTACATTCAGTTAATAACAAGATGCTGAAATGGGGGTCAACTGACATTTTTAATTATAATTAAAGTATACCATATTTGCAAATTGTAAAATATTTTTCAAAAATATTGTACTCTTGTAAGTAGGCTTTGACAAAACTATAAAATATGACAGATGTAAATTGGAAATAGTTGACTTGGAGTAGGCAAATTCAAAGAGCTCTAGCTCTTTTATGAAGCATTGTCGGATTAAGATCATTTAGGTTTAATCCACACAAAATCTAAAATCTGGAGTTTTTATTTAGTTCTGGGACAATATAGATAAAATACTACTGTTTTCTTGTATTGATATCTTTAGAAAAATAAGAATGATGTAACGGTAGTCGACGTCAGATACAAAGCTCACCTAAGAGTTCAGAAATGGACCCTTGAAGTACACAACTACCATTTTAATTTAAAAAAAATGTTTAATTTTCTAAAAAGGGTATAATTTTATTTTCATTAATTTAACATTGATCATTGGCAAGAAATAAAAGAAAAGGAGGGTTCAGAAATATCTTCTATCGAAAATTTATATTTAAGTTTAAAAAAGCTTGCAGAAAAACTGTTTTTTTTTTTCTAAAAAGCACCAAAGAAGCCCAAAATTCACATAGCTATAAAAAATTCAAATGGACAACTTGCATTAATATTTCTCATAAATAATAATAAAAAATATAATATATTATGTACTCATATGTTATATAATAATTATTCAATGGGAATGTAATTTTGTAAGAATTGTTTGTTATATAAATATCTTATTTTGACTAGTTTTTTTTTATATTCTAATTTATGATGTCATACACTGTAATCTGTAAATTTTACATTGTCACAGAATTGTTATGCATACACTGTATCCCAGATTATGTGACTAATTTTACGAATTACAATTATTCCTAACGACTAACATTCCTAACATTCTTAACATTTCATATATTGCATTCTCCAACGACCTGTCAAACAACAGTTGTTGATTGTAAAGGTGAGATTTCTAAGGCGGGTTGCGACCTTCATACTTACAACCATAGTCATTTTGGAGGCTATTTTTATAAGAAATTAGTCACCATATAAGCAGTTTCTTAAAAATGACTTTTTTATGGTGGTGCTAACTTAAGCTTACTACTATTTCGCCCCTAGTCACAAAAACACCTTCGTCAAATTTACTGACTCTCTGTTGCAACCCCATAGAATAATTAACCGGTCATTTTATTTGGCAAAAATCAGAATAAAACTTGGCTATATCTGTCAAGTATCAAGATGTCAACTGCGATGTGTGAATGGCTCTTAAATGTCAAATTATTTAAAAATGTTTGCATGCTTCTTTTGATATTTATTGTAAATAATTTGTAGTGTATCTCAATTCAGGTTTTCCATAAATAAAGGTAGGGCAAGACAGATAATATAATGTTCTTATACAGAGCACTTTTTTATTATGTAAAAGACAGGTAGGATATAATGCTGGTTTTTTGTAGATAAATTTAATTATACGATTTTGGATTACATTAAGGGGTTGAAATGCAATAGCATATAGTCCACATTATACCATATCGCAAAATAGATTCAACCAGCGAATTGTAAGTAATAATTAGTAAACTCTTAGTCATAAATTTCCTCAATTCATAAAATTTAAAAATGAATCTTCTAACTTTGGTTAATGGTTAATGACGTAATGCGATCAACCAATTTCAAATTTTGATTAATTATGATACCGCGGTATTTTGTTGTGTTTTTCATTTTAATTATAAAGTTGTCGTTGCATGTTGAAAGAAAGCCTTTGTAAATTATATTGCTCTCTATGGATCTACTTTTAATACAAAAATAGTTTTGTGGCTATAAGTTGCTATAACCTATAGTTGCAAAACTATTTTTGAGCTTTGTTTCTAAATAAAGCAAAAAATTACAAATTATATATATTAATCATTTATTTAGCATCTGATAATTTACATTGATAGTCAAATATATATACAAATAATAATTTAAACATAGTAGGTAGTATTATAACATCAAGTAATTTTTTAAAATAATGTACATGATCTCAAGACAGAAATAATTTATAATAAATGCAGGTAAAACGAGGGGTAAAATAACAATAAATTAAGGAAAATACTTAAAAAGGGCAGTTTTAAAGAGTATTATCACAAGAAAGTATATCCGTTCTATTTATTTATCAACTAGCTCTGATGCGATGGTACTG